TGCAGTCAGTACACACTTACCCCAAAATTCAATAGGAAGGTTACCTTGAAAACGCAATGCCTGCGCCACATTCAAAATATGGTGATGTTTTCTTTCAACCCTTCCATTTTGTTGCGGTGTGCCTGTGCAAGATGTTTGAAAAGTAATTCCATGAGCAAGAAAATAATTCTTCATGCAAGTAAATTTTGTCCCACTGTCACTTCTAAATGTGTTGACATGTTTGTTAAATTGCCTTTCCACCAAAGCGAAAAAATTGAATAGCGTTCGAGACACTTCCCTTTTATCAACGAGTAAATAAATCCAAACAACATGTGAGAGGTCATTTACTATTGTCAAAAAATAAAACGCACCATATGAAGAAATGGTTCTATATGGTCCCCGCAAATCACAATGTATCAATTCAAAAATACTTTTGGCTTTGTGATCACTCAAAGGAAACATTTGCCTAGTTTGTTTGGATCTAAGACACACATCACAAGCCTTATTTGACAGCTTACAATTTTTTATTCTATTGACACTAGAAACTAGTTGTATGACTTTCCAAGATAGATGTCTCAAGCATCTACGCCATAGCTGTGCATGGTTCACCCCATTAGTTTCGAAAGCTTTCACTTCTAGAGTTCCAAGAAAGTAATAAAGCCCATTCCTTTGTTCACCCTCTCCAATCAGCGTCCTCAAAATACGGCAAGATACAACTTGTTTCATCCACCAACTGTGATAATGATATCAAGTTGCAATTCAGTTTGGGAACATATAGAACATTTGAGAGTTCTAAACCCCCATCCAACACAACAGTTCATTCTTTAGTTGCAACAATATGCTCTCTATCTGGAAGTCCTACGGGTAGTCTCGAATATCGTGCAAGTCATACATGCTCTTTAAATCTCCTGTCATATGGTTAGATGCTCTAGTGTCAATTATCCACAGAATAATACAATGTTTACCTGTCAGCTTTCCATTTGTGTTTGCCTTTTGAGCGTTCAACAATCCTGCCAATGTTTGCTATTGTTTTGTGGTAAATCCGTTAATCCCAACTCTATCCACCTCTGAGAAGGATGTGCTTATACTCCTTGCTGCACTAGTTTGTGCAGCATTAGCACGAACTGCTCCTCCTCAACCACTTCTCATTCCCATTCATTGATCTGTCTTGACTCGCGTGACACTTTTTCCTCAAGTTTTAGGTTTATCTCCCCACCAGTCAAGATATCCAACCAACTGAAAGCAATTTTCTACCTCATGCCCAACTCTGTTGCAAACTTTGCAGGTCCCACTTCTGTCTTTTGTCTCTATACCCATTACCCTATTGCTAGACTGACCAACCAGTCCCACAACCTCTCATCATTCTTCCTTGACCCTAGCGATTGTTCTCACCCCTTTCTTCTTGTATAAAAAATGAATACACCCTATTAAGAAAAGGCAACAAATCTATTGCCAGAATATTGAAACACACAGTTCCATAAGTTGCATCGTCCAAGTGCATGAGAAACCAATGTACCTTTTCTTCTTCATTGTGTTTCTCCAACTTAAATTTGACATTGCACCTGCATCCTTGACATGTACAAATCAGAATTTGTTCATAGTCGGCTAACGCGTCGCATAACATCTTCAATTTCCCATAATAGCCTACCGTTGACATTCCTCCTTGCTTAAGGCTTGCCAAATCAGATTTCAACTGCTGTATTCTTGGGCCATTGGTGACTGAGAATCGCTCCTTGATGTCTTCCCAAATATCCTTCGCATTTTTGCTACAAGTCATTGTAGAACGCAAACTTGGTTCTACATTGTTCAGGATCCATAACATTAACATGGACTGCACTGTCCACCAATCCTCCATGTCTATTGATCCCTCCTCTGATTGCTTTATCGTCCCATCAACAAATCCTCATTTTTTTTCGAGCACGCAATGAACGTTTCATCGAACTTGCCCATTCGTCATAATTTTCTCCACGAAGCTGCACCCGGGTAATCAAATTTCCAGGGTTATCATTTGTGTTGAGATCATAAGGTGAGGGAATTCTCTTCCCTTAGCTGACAGGTTGTTTCAGATCTCCTGTCATTTTTGGCTCTTCTCCTTTAGGCCTTGTGTTTTCAAACTTTGATGCCATAAAGAAATTTGAGAGAACATAAAACGTTACCTTTCTTTAATATGCTGGCCAAAATACATACAGTCGATGATACAATTGTTTTTCTAATAAACTCCTATCAAATCTTTATTATCTCTCAAAATAGAGCCTAACATATTCGTAAAATAACTATACATTAGTACAAGGAAATTTGTCCAAATATGACATCAACAATACAATATAACAATTCTATAATTATCTCAATACATAAAAGACACCAACTTTACAATAATAAGATAATCCTGAAATTATCTCGTTACCGTAATTATCTCATTTCAATAAATAATTCAAAGAGAATTAAAACAAACTATATTACCAATTTAATAATAGAGATAACATAATAGAGAAAGAGCAAGAAGAGTATGATTTCAATAACATGAATAATATAACTTAAAAAAATAAGATTAAAAAGATAATATATAATAAAATATAAATAAATTAAACTATTCTTAACTAAATTATAACAAAAGACTAATTACATCATCTAAACTAAAAAAGGTACCGAGGATTTTCAACTTTGTAATCAAGACAATGAAAGTGCAATTAACCACTTTAAGAAGTCTACCACTATCATATCATGAAACTCACATTATCATGATGCTCACAAAGAAATCTCATAACATAAATCTCATAAAATCCTTCTTAATCTCCTCTAAAATAATATTTAATAAACAAGAAATTCAACCCAACTCAACATAGACTCTTATAAATATATGAGAATCTACATGCGAGAGATAATCCAAAATCCACAAATTTATATAAATCTCTCAACAAGACAAGACTTTATGTGTTAGTGTTAGTATACTAGCATTATTCTTTGGCATGAGAAGGTTATTTTAGTTTAATTGAGTTTGTTAGAGAGAGTGGGGCCAGTAGCTACACTACTCGACTAACATTACCTGCTATATACTATCTCCTACATCCTCTATCTTTGTTTTTGTCGGCACGTAATCCACTAATTCTATTTTTGCCAGCGTGGCACCTATTCCACGCGCCACGCAAACCATCTTCACCAAACGCCACGCATCTCATCTTTGTCTTCGATATCAACCTCATCCCATCAACGGTCCACATTCTTTCAAATGCGCCACCGCGCGTCAGCTTTAACTTAATATCCCAGGGCTTAAGAGTCATTTCCTAATGCTTTGGAATAAAGCTAAAAAAGAAACAGTAATAAAAGAAACACTTTGTTTTGAAGTAACTGCGCTGGGATCCCCAATAACAACCATCTTTTAATCACAACCACTCCCTGTCTTTCTCACGTGTCCACTAGTGTCGCACAAGGATTTCACATCCACCCTTTGATCGTCTCAACATCATCGAGTTGTTGAATCCTACGGTAAAAAGAAAAGGTCGTAAATTCTATCCTGTATTTTCATCACACCCAATGGTTCCCCTGAAAATTATCCATGCTTTTCCGTTTCAAATTTCATTTATTTATTTTTTTCAATTTTCAATACTCCAGCTAGCACAGTCATAGAGATCAACAAACAAAGCAACCACAAAATTTATGCAGCTTTAGATCAACAATCTCTCAGTGTCTCTCCTCTATGGTACACTCCTCTCTCTACAGTTTTCTCTTCTCTTCTTAACCTGAAAAAACTAATGAGAAAAAAAGTGATTATTATTTAAGTTTGAGAACTGATTATTTGGTTCTGGTTCACAGGAATGGTAGATTTAAGTTGAAGAGGTTCCACATTGGTAAGGTAATTGCTAGATCTAGCCTCAAACAAGCTATTTAGCACCAATTCAAAATCACTGATTCATGAATTAAGCAGTGTTATATGATTTACCGTTTTTGCTTGTAGTAGATCTCCGGATTTCTAGGGTTTCTTTTTTTCCATAACCTTGTGCTTCATCATGAACAATTGTTTTAGATTTCTATTACTATTTTACATTACATTCTATTCTTCAGTGTAATTTGTTTAGATTTGTTGATCTTTCAAGGAGATTGAGACGTGTAGGCTAATTTCTACTGTGATTTGTTTATTACTCTTTTGATTACTGTGTGGTGCTGTCGGTGGCTTACTTACAGCGGAGATTGCAAGAAAAGTCAAAGCTTGATGGTCTTTAAAAAAAATTATGATGGTGTTTTATGGGGATTTATTACTGAATACAAGAGAAAAGATGCTATTAATTGTTCATGATGTCTATGTTACTGTTTAATAGTAATTGTTTGATCATTCATCATTATTATTTCTATATAATTTGGCTGATCTGTTTGGGTTGCATGTTACCATATAATTACATGATCTTTGTAGTAGTAAAATAATAGTAATAATTTTAAAATGATTATAATAATAATTTATATTATTAATTATATTAATTGTTATCATTCATAACGTATTCATTTAGAAAATTATTTTTTAATTGAGAACAAAACTTTTTTCTGAGAGCAACAACACCCTTATTTTCCTAGCACAATTCAATCAAATGAGATGTCATAATCAAATGCACTCTGTTAAATAAATAAGACAACTAAAATTTATATTCTCCTTCAACATATTTTTTTTTTGTACTTACATTATCATGGTACAGCTGAATATTCTTAAAATTTAACGAGATCTCGTTTCTAGATTTCATAAAAACATGTTTTTTTCCTCTAAAAATCATAGCATTTTTTTTAATGCTTTAGTTATCCAAGCAATGGAGAGCATGCTAGTTTCAAGATTTTCTCAGTCTCACAGCTCAATTTCAATTGCACTAACTATAAGTTGACTGAATTTGCGGGTTTAGTTTAGAAAGCATCTTGTGTGATTAAGAATAATTTGTAGTTGTATTAGTTCTTTTTTTCCTATGTAGAAATGTGAAATAGTAATCACGGGATCTATATAGAGACTGATATCACCTTTTTCTGTTACAGATCTTGGTCTCACAATGGGTAAATCACCAGGAAAATGGATCAAAACTGTTCTGTTTGGGAAGAAGTCATCCAAATCAAATATACCAAGAGGAAGAGAGGTAATTTGTAATAATGCTATACTATTGAAAATATCGCTGCATTCTCTCAACTAAAACAAAAGGACTTTGATATGACCTGTAATGAAAATTCTGACTTATTTTACTATAATATGATTCAGAAGCTTGTTAATCAAAAAGAAGGAGTTGTTGCTTCCAAGGTTTCAGAATCTGGTTTGGCTTTAGAGCCAACTACCAATACTATTCCCAGACACGAGGAAGAGCTGGAGCTGGAGAGTAGTAGAGAAGCAGAAAATGTTTTGCCTGGGAATCAAGAAATTGACACAGTGGAACCTGTTCATCAAGATGCACCACTTGATCCAGAAATATTGAGGCGGGAGGAAGCGGTTACGAAAGCACAGGCTGCTTTCAGGGGTTATTTGGTATGTGGTGACTAACTGTTATAGACACTTTACTGATTAAACTGCAAGTGTCATTTAGTTTGAAAATTAAGAATTTCGAACTATAAAATATGAAACATGAAAAATATATTTTAAAGTACACTTTATGATTGTAAATTCAATTATGATAACATTTGGCTTGAAGGCTTTTCTGGATCGAGAGATGAAGTTTAGAAGATTTAATGTTTACTTAACTCTAGAGCACAACCTTGAGGCTTAGTGCGGCCTTAAGTTATAATCCATAAATTTTTATAATTTGTCTTTCCTATCTCTCCTTAATTTCAATTTTGATTATAAATCTGTGATCTTAATATATGAAGTTGATTTTTGGACTCCGACTTATTTATTTGTGAAGAGCAGCTGTCAAGCAATGTAAAAACTGCCTTCATTCCAAACAGAAGAGCTAATTATTTCGTTCAAGTTAAAATTAATTATCAAATGCTTTCTCGATGGAGATCAACACACTCGGTTCCCTCTGATATGCTACTCAAGACAGAAAAAACATACTTCATCAATAAGTTTGCTGTTGTCTTGAATTCTTGCTTTTTCCGTCTCTCATTAATAAAGATGTCTAACAAAGATATGACAAATTAACAAGTTTTAAACTCATTGGCACTATCATCTTGAGGGATTGATTATGTGAGTTCTTGTAAGTTGTAATATTTGATATTAATCTTCAACTAATAGAAGTGTCTTTAATGAAGGCTAGGAGAGCATTTAGAGCCCTTAAAGGCATAATAAGGTTACAAGCACTTATTCGTGGGCACTTGGTTAGAAGACAAGCTGTTGTTACATTATGCTGTATGTATGGAATTGTCAAATTACAAGGACTTGTTCGTGGACAAAGAGTTAGACAGTCTGATGTTGGTTTTGAAATTCATGAAAAGTGCAATCTATTAAAGCTTCAGGTTATTTTTTCAAATTTGTTTTCTCTGTACTTTATCATTTATTTGCCATGCTCTTTATATTATTCTTGAAGTTCTTCTGATTAGTCCAAAGGCGTGCTTGGAATAATATGAAATTGTATTTATATTTTACCTGATTTTCTTGCTCAATTTCAAATTAGAGCTAAATATTAAAGATGACAATTCTAGCCAAGCTGGCAGCACATACAAAATGAGGACTTTACTAACTGTGCTTTAAAGCTCCTGATCCCTGCTGTGAAAATAAATGAGTTTATTATGAACTATTTGCTACAACTAGAATCATGGATATGTCTTGTCATGCAATCAATTTTCATCTTATTAATAAGCTGTTGCATTACACCAATCTGTTGCAGATTGTTTTCAAATTTTTTTTTTTTGGGACCGCTTGTAAATGAAGAGTAAAGTCTCTATCATCAAACAATATGTTAAATTTCTAATGAGTTTCTTTTGGTTATTGGGTAGTGCACTTTAAGTATTGTTAGACTTTGACCACTTCAAAGTGTATCCCAATCAAGCGATGAGAGAGGGAGGTGGAGACTGCAACAATATTTGTTAACTGCTGTTACTGCTAATGATTTTCTTAATGTGTTTTTCCTTAGGATGACAAACCTGTCAAGCCAGTTCCTATATCTGATAAAATTCTGAAGCTGTCAGCAAATAATTTCATCCGAAAGGTATCTTATTATTTTACACCTTATGTGTGACAACTTGACTTGTTCTTTTCTGAGTGTGATCCATTTTATTCATAGAAGTGTGGAATGGACTCTTAAACCCATAAAACAAGGTTGGACTTAAAAGTATGGCCCACCATTGTATTCTCCCTAAACCCTTTGTATGTGATTTATAACAATTTTGTTTTATGTGACCCACTATTGTTTGATATAAATAATAGGAATGTAGGGAAGCCTGTATCAGGCTGGGGTACATGGTTTTTGTTAGGGACTGAGTTTGTTGGCTTATATTTAACCTATTGTTGGCTTATATTTGACCCATTTGTTGGCTTAAAGCCCAAACCCAGTTTCTAACAGTTTTCAAGTTGTGCATTGTTTCATATATTTTTTAGGTTTGTAATTGTTAGGTATGCCAAAAACTAGCAATGCTACAGTATTATCTCAGTCTATTTCATCTCTTCATGTATTGGAAACACAAGTATAGCTGAGGTTTAGGTAAACATTCTTAGTTATAGCGTATGTAGCAAGCAATGCTTTGAGAAAGGCCAAATTAAATAGCTTAAATCCTTATTCCATGTGCAATAATTCATAATCTACTAGTTTTGTAGTTAACGCACTTGACACAATTCACATGAAGACATATCACAATATATTCATTGCACTTGCACATATTATAAAAGATGAGATTAATCTGTTCTAAATGGGTTTTTGTCCATTATCTGGTGATGTCATGTCACATCATATTTTTGTTTGGTTAAATCTGAAAACGCTGGTTTACACTTAGATTCTCTAAATAGAGTCTTTAAAGTGAGAAAGTAAGACACGTGTACCTTGACTTATTCAATTCTCTAATATTTAAGTGCGGGTAGACCTTTTCCTGCTCACTTTAGAACTGTTTTCTGTTACATTTGTATTGCTTCATGTTTACGTCAATTATATGGAGCACATACTTCTGTTACAGTTTGTCTTTTGATCTTTTTGTTGTTTCAGCTTATTGCTTCTTCTACTACAATAATGGCCCTGCGTTTGCAATATGTCCGCGGAGATCCAAATTCAGTCTTAAGTTGGTTGGAGCGCTGGTCAGCATCTCATTTTTGGAAGCCAATTCCTCAACCCAAGAAAATCCGGGATACTAAGTTTCAGAAAAAGCAGGGTAATATTGCAACTGGAGATGCTCATACAAGCAAGTCAAAACGTACCCACAGGAAGCTTTCTACTGCAAATTTTGACCAAGCCCCAGCACAAGCAAATCCTGAATTTGAAAAACCCAAACGAAATGTAAGGAAATTTCCAAGCCAGCCCTCTGATCCTGTGCTGGAAAATCCCCAAATTGAGCTTGAGAAGGTTAAGCGTAACTTGAGAAAGGTTCATAACCCAGTTGTTGAGACTGCAGTCCTGTCAGAAGTTGAATCTGAGACTCAGAAGCCACACCTGGAAAAAGAAACAGTTGCCTTAAGTGTTGGTGTTTCAGAACAAGCAGTCATAAGTTCTAATGAAAGAACCAAGAAGGAAGCAAAGATAATCATTTCTAGTGAGCCAGATATCGGAATTACTGCTGGAGATTTAGTTAGTAAGGAGGAGGTGTTTGACACTCCAAGCAGCTATCAGGTGAATGTGGAATCAAAGCCCTTGACAGATATTACAAGTAAAGATAAAAACATTTCTGATGATGAAATAAAAATTGAGTCCATAGATTTAGTAGAGACTAGCAAAGATGAAAATTCTCACTTAACCAATGGAAGTTTGAGTCACAAGGAAGATCAAACAGGCAGTGAAAATCAGAAACCAATCCGAAAAGCCTCAATTGTAGCTAAGCAGGAACGTGCAGAGAACGGTTCTCATAATAGTCCGACAGTACCGAGTTATATGGCAGCAACTGAATCTGCCAAAGCGAAATTGAGGGCTCAAGGATCCCCGAAAATTGGACAAGATGGAAGTGAGAAAAACAACAATGCTCGGCGACATTCTCTGCCATCTTTAACTAACAGCAAAATCAGTTCACACTCACCTAGAACACAGAGGCCAGTTCATTCAGGTGGTAAAGGGACCCACAAAAGTGAGAAAGCTGTACCTTCTGTGGTTGGAAATGGTATGACACAGTATTCCTTCGATATAGCTGTTTAGAAAATTCACCAAAAATGTGGTATGAAAATATCAAATGATAATTTAACATGGGAAAAATAACAGCTCAATCATGCTAAACCATATGATTGCTGATTCAAATAACGATACAGTTCCTTTCATACTGCAAAGTAACTTGGTAGAACAGTAGAAGCTGCACATACTCATTTGTATACTCTGGTGTATGTCTTTTTATTCATTATGATTTATATGATCTATTTATCATCAACTATTCTGTTCATCTTGTAGGAAAGGTAGTTCAAGCAGAATGGAAGAGGTGATTTGAGGAAGACTGGTTTTTCGAAGTTGACATGAAGTTGAAACTTGTGATGTTAATGTGTTATCTTTGATGGAATTGCTGAATTGACCGAACTATAGGTGTGTGTCATCAGGTTTTTCTTCACTTGCTGCATTTTGGCATTTGAGAGTGATTTGTAAATCATAGGTTTTTAGTTTTTGCATGAAGCAACTATACCCAAATTTATGTCCTGTTTGTTTTAGAACATTATTTCTGGGCTGTTTATATTGTTTGTTTCCCTCCCCTGAAGTGTGTGTATGGTCTAAACACGTACCTTTCTAGGTGTTACAACGAACTCTGTGTGCTTCGAATATCGACCTAAATATTTTATGGTAACATGAATTTGCCCCTGCTAGATTGTCATATATTTTCTTTTTTGGCATTAAAGTACCTAGGAAGGTGAAACTGAGATTAGAAAATTATACATGAGAGAAGTTGAAAATATTATACATGAGATTAGAAAATTAACATACACGAGAGAAGTCGAAACTGTACTCTTGGCACTGTTTAGGGGTGACAATGTGAAGTGTATACTTTTAAGTTTTAACACAATGAAGGTGACATTGCTGAATTTTCTTTTTGCGAGGGTGACGTTGTTTGAGTTGAAACAAGAAGGTTTTAGTTTTTCTCATCACAAATTTTAGAAACATTTCAAAAGAATAGTCTTCGGTTCATTTTTTAATGTATTTTATAACCTGAAATGAGCAAACTTTTCTACCTAAAACTAGAATTCAAGCCATGAGTTTGCACGAAATAGAGGTAGAGAGAAATGCGCTTAAATTTGAAATATTGGTTATAAAAATGAGGAATTTAATCATTGCTTAAAAGTCATTGTAACGGATTATGGTTTATGAGGGGGCATAGATCTCTATTAATTCAAGGGAATTGCTTCTCACTTAGGGCAACTTTTCTCACTTATGGCAACTTTAACGCAGAGTTGTTAAACCAAAATTTTTTATAGTTTAAGTTAGAGCATCTTTAATGGGAGTAAACTAAATGGATAAACTAAGATACTTTTTGTGGGCTCAAAGTGATTTGTAGGATTTAAAAAATTTATAGTTGATTTGAGTAGTTTTTACTTTAATGGTGGTTGTCTATAAGAAACCAATACTTGATCCCACATTTTCTATTTTTTATTCAAGTTACCATTAATTTAATTATTTTATTTAAAATGCATATATTTTTTTTAAAAAATTTACCTTAAAAACTTAAAAATAATATTAAATATATTTTATTATAAAATTAAAAATGATACAAAATTCACAACAATAATAATAAAAAAAATTACATTTTTATAGGAATATAATTATAATAAGGATTTGATTGGTTGTCATCCATTTGATAAATAAATAAGATTAAAAAATTGAAAGAAAAAAATTTAGAAGTAAAACTGTATGTAAAAAAAATTAAAGTTTCTGTAGAATTTATAGAAGGTAAAAAATGATAATATGACCGTTACTATTTAAAATGAAATATTTGGAATATTTTATTAATATTAAATAATATTATAATAGGTTTCACAAGAATAGTTAACGTTAACTATATAAATAATGGAAATTAAATTTTAGTTCATTTGGATGCCATGTCAGCTCTACTATAATGCAAATTCCTTATTACTAACGTAAATTATAAGAAATTTTGGTTTAACAATCCTGCGTTAAAGTTGCTCTTAGTAATAAGGAATTTGCATTATAGGAGAACTGACATGGTATCCAAATGAACTAAAATTTAGTTTCCATTATCTATATAGTTAACGTTAACTATGTGAAACCTATTATAATATTATTTAATATTAATAAAATATTTCAAATATTTCAACAAGGATATGACATTTGAAAATAGTAACGGTCATATTATCATTTTTTACCTTCTATAAATTCTATAGAAATTTTATTTTTTTTTACACAGAGTTTTACTTTTAAATTTTTTTCTTTCAATTTCCAATCTTATTTATTTATCAAATGGATCCCCACCAATTAAATCCTTATTATAATTATATTCATATGAAAATGTAATTTTTTTTATGTATTATTGTTGTGAATTTTGTATCATTTTTAATTTTATAATAAAATATATTTAATATTATTTTTAAGTTTTTAAGGTAAATTTTATTTTAAAAATTATATGTATTTTAATTAAAATAATTAAATTAATGGTAACTTGAATAAAAAATATAAAATGTGGGGTCAAGTTTTGGTTTCTTATAGACAACCACCATTAAAGTAAAAACTATACAAATCAACTATAAATTTTTTAAATCCTACAAATCACTTTGGGCCCACAAAAAGTATCTTAGTTTACCCATTTAGTTTACTCCCACTAAAGATGCTCTTAGTGGATAAACACCTAAAAAATTCAAAAATGCCTTTGAGAATTTGGAAATATATTTAGGACACATCTATTGCACAATAAATACATGTGTAAATGAATTACATTAAAAAAAAATTGATTTAGAGATACACCTATGTATTTTAATCTTATGCCCACACGATACATTTCTAAATGAGACTCATTTTGCCTTAAATTGATTTGGAGTTACACTTATCAACTTTATGTGCATTTTATGCATTATAATCAAGACACTAATTTTGTTTTAAATTGATTCAGTGATGTATTTTTGTATCAAGTTACGGAGATGCACTTTCGTATTCTTACTTAATAGTAAATTTTGACTTTTTGTTTTTATGAAATATACCGTTGTAATAAACTATGTATTAAAACTATGCTATCATAATAATTTTTTATAAATTAAACTATACACTTAATGCACAAGATAAAAATGTCATATATAAATAAATCAATCCATAATACAGCTAATAACAAAGTAACAAACAATAATAACATCTATGATGTCTAATGCAAATACTACATAATACAAATACTACACTACTGGATATACTAAACCACCATGTTCCTCTGTTGTCTCGTGTACTGTAGTGTCTTTCGTGCCTCAGTAAGAAATATCCCTTTCAGAAGATCCTTTCAGAAATACTCCTTTGTCTATACTCGCTTGAGTAAGATCCATGATACGTCGACATTTAGGCAACACATTAACAACATGATCTTCCCTATCCCGGTCCTCCCTTCCTCTAGTATCTCATGATGAACATACCTAAGTGAGTCTCTTGGAACATTTAGTGTCATATAAGAATGTGACATTTTAAATACCACTGGACACAGTCGTATGCACAATTTCAATCGCTAGGAACTAGCGTACCTCGTGTGTCATTTGGTACTAGATGAATAAGGTAACCATCATACATGACATCTACATCTTTTTAGACCATAGTAAGATGAGCAGAATCAATTGGATCTCTAAGAACAAACCGCATATACCAGAAGTGGCGTATGACGCGCTCAGCAATATGTGATACATCAGACGTGACCCATAAACCAACCATCTAAAGTCGAAGACTATGATGTTTAAGGGACGCGACTGATGGTAATCTACGTATGCCTGAAATTGTATATCATCTGCTACCATGCAACCAAGATACACTTTGAAGGGATGCATCGCCTGATTTCCACGGGATGAATGCACAAAGTCAACAAAGTATCTGAAATAAACCATATCCACGTAATAAGCACTCCTGTCCACAAAAATGGACGTGCCAACCAAGGACAACAAATATGCTCTTAATGCATATGCTCTATGCTACATAACCTTTTTATCATCAACAACGACCTGTTGTGCCGTTGTCAACTACTGTACATACGACCTCTCCAGGAATTCAAACCTAGCATGACACTCTCAGGTGTCTTCTACCTCCTTTAGGATATCCACTAGGTTATATCCCAAATATGTCACCATCATTTCCACTAACTCATATCTAATAATCCTGCCTTGGCCTAACAGTCTTTCACTGATTAGAAGATGTGGCATACATGAGACATCATACAATGTGATTGACATATTATGGAACCTTTTTTCCCCCGCATGTGATATACTTTTAACAAGGACACCAAGTTTTGACAATGACAATTAATGATAACAATTAATTGATGATGACAACTAATGTCTTCTGACAAGTCAAGCATAAACGGTTAAACAAATAAAGATGAAAAACTGTATTAGGGTTTGATGGACTTGGATATCCGATGATGGAAATCAAATGGAATATAAACTCAAGCCTCATATCAAGTGAACTTAAGCAAGTGTCTACAAAAGAAAGCATCTGACAAAGTCTTGAAATGTAACAAAACTCTACCTTAAGTAGTCTTAGTGAATACTCTGTAAAGCAAAAGGGTGTTCTCGTAAAAGTGCATGGCTAAATCACACACACACACAACACACAAACAAATTTTCAAACTTACTTTTCTCAAGAAAGCATCTTAAAAGATGTCTTGAAGTTGTGCCAAATGAATTGGGAGCTGTCAGAATAGCTCTGCAAAAAGTTTTGTATTTACTAATCGATTGGTATATTAACCTAATCGGTTAACTCAATTCAAAGTTGAGCTCTAAACGATTAGGACAACATATTGATGATGTGCAATGACTAGATATATATTATTTCCTATATTGAACTTACAATCAAATATATTTGAAGTATCTAATCGATTGGCATTAGATGTCCATTCCCTCCTTTTAAACCATCCATAATTATATTGTTTTGACACTTCTTACTCTCTAAATATTTTTTTTACTTTCTCTCATTAATATTTTAGCCGAAGTGAGAACAAGTTGTAATTATGGAAAGATAGAATTGTAAAATTCACCAAGGGAGTTTTTATTTACACATTGGTTAAATATTATCCATTAAGGGACTATTTCGGCTAGAAGCTAAACTCGTAAAAGCTTTTGGTTTGGGGATTGTGTGATCAAGCCCTTGTTTAGGTTCGAGATCATTCCTTGATAAATTCTCATAGGTTCTTGGTTAGTCCATGGTAAAATTAAGGTTAAGTTAAATCTTATCTTGTGATAAATTCTTGGATAAGGTTCAAGATTAGTCATATATTAAAATATCCAAGGTTATTGGTTAGCTC